TGGTGAGGAACCCATCTCCTCCTGTAAAAATATGAAGAGCTCAGGCTCTGAAATTCATCAGGCTGTTCCAATTGCCTCTCAGTCACAATCCAGGATCCAAGTCACTTAATTCTCTGAACTCTTGCTTTACATAAATACAAGATTAAGAATAGTATGAACTTCATAAGATTATTCTGAATATTAAATAAGATAATTTACATAAAGATTTTAGAAAAGAGCATGGTATAGAATTGTACTATGTACTCAAAGCACATTAGTTACCATAATCATCATCATAATTAGTTCTGGTGATTAATTTTATTTATGTGATGACTACATGCCTGTTCACATATTGGTCTTTTTTTTGTCTTGCGGAGGTACTCAGAATAGACCTTGATTCCATCCTAAAAAGTTTTTAATCATTTGAAGGCAGTTCAGTCCCTTCATTTTTAGGCTTTTATGGGCTAAACATTCTCTGTCGATTAATTGTTTTTGAGTGCCTCACGCAGTTCCTGGCACATTGTAGGTACTCAATACATATTTGTTAAATAGATGTTGACTCTAACATAGCCTCCTCATTATGTTTTATGCTGAATGCACTTACATATTATCAATGTATAGTTTAAGGCATTTGGTAGAACTAAACTCAGTGGAGCTGCCTTCCCTTTTTCTTTATCTTTTTTAAAAAATTAAAGTTTAGTTGACATACAATATCTCATTGGTTTCAGGTGTACAACATAGAGGTTCGACATTTATTTACGTTAAAAAATGATGACCCTGATAAGACTAGTTACCATCTGTCATCATACAAAGTTATTACAATATTGTCGACTATATTCCCTGTGCTGTACATTACATCCCCATGACTTACTTATTTTATGACTGGAAGTGTGTGCCTCTTAATCTCCTTCATGTGTTTCACCCTTCCTTTCACCCTCTTCCCATCTGGCAACCATCAATTTGTTCTCTGCGTGTATTAGTCTGTCTCTATTTTGTTTTCTTTTGTCATTTGTTTTATTTATTTATTTTTTAGATTCTATGTATAACTGAAATCATATGAGGTTTTCTTCTTTCGCTGTCTGGCTTATTTCACTTAGTAAATGCCCTCTAGATCCATCCATCTTGTCACAAATAACAGGGTTTCCTTCTTTATGGCTGAGTAATATCCCATTGTGTGTATATATATACATATATATATACATATATATATATATATATGTATATATATATACACCACATCTTCCTTATCCTTCATCTACTGATGGGCACGTATTTTGCTTTCATATCTTGGCTATTGTAAATAATACTGTAATGAACATACAGGTGCATATATATTTTCAAATTAGTGTTTTTTTGTTTTCTTTGGATAAATACTCAGAAGTGGTATTGCTGGATTGCATGGCAGTTACATTTTTAATTCTTTGAGAAACCTCCATACTGTTTTCCATAGTGGTTGCATCAATTTACATTATCATCAACAGTGTACATGGTTTCCCTTTTCTCCACATCCTCGCCAATACTTATTATCTTTTGTCTTTTTGGCAATTACTATTCTTACCAATGTGAGGTGATATCTCATTGTGGTTTTGATTTGCATTTCCCTGGTGATTAATGACGTTGAGCACCTTTTCATGTACCTGTTGGCCACCTGTATGTCTTCTTTGGAGAAATGTCTATTCAGGTCCTCTGCCCATTTTTTAGTTGGATTATTATTATTATTTTTTTGGATATTGAGTTGTATGAGTTCTTTATATATTTTGGATATTAACCACTTATCAGATATACCATTTGCAAATATATTCTCCCATTCAGTAGGTTGCCTTTTTGTTTAGTTGATGGTTTCCTTTGCTGTGAAAAACCGTTTTAGTTTAATGTAGTTCATTTGTTTATTTTTGCTTTTGTTGCCCTTGCTTGAGGAGACATATCCAAAAATATATTGCTAAGTCTGATGTCACAGAGCTTACTACCTATGTTTTCTTCTAGGAGTTTTGTGGTTTCAGGTCTTAGTTTTAATTCTTTAATCCATTTTGATTTTTCTCTTTGTATAATGTAAGGAAGCAGTCCAGTTTCTTTCTTTTGTATGTATCTGTCCAGTTTTCCCAACTCCATTTGTTGAAGAGACTCTCTTTTCCTCACTGTATGTTCTTGACTGTTTTGTCATAGGTTAATTGACCATATAGGTGTGGGTTATTTCTGGGTTCTCTATTCTGTTCCATTGATCTGGGTGTCTGTTTTAGGGCCAGTACCGTACTGTTCTGATTACTATAGCTTAGTATTATAGTTTGAAATCACTACCCTCCCTTTATCTCGATGTCTTGCTTGTATTGTAGCAGTTTAGGACTCAGAATGCAGGGCTGTGATGGGAGCCCCTTACTTACGTGCATGTTTGGTTTCCTCATTGAGAGCTACGGAAAGAACATCATCAATGAACTCTGAGTCATTGGATACTGCATGGGCAGATAATATCTGCTCCTACTAAACTGTCAGAATTTTCACAGTTACCTGACCTACCAAGGGTGGAGACATGCTGGGTTTATAGAGAGCTAATTACTCACTTTGTTCTAGTCTCACTGGAAAACACACAGGAATCAAAAGGAAGCATCTTTTCAATTGTTTTAAGAGACAGAAATTGTTGTGAAATTTAAAAATTGCCTATTCAATTTTTAGAAGTAGTAGCAGTCTAATTATATCACTTAGCACTGGAGACCACGCAGTTAGTTATTATTGTTGATTCTGTCACAACATTAGAGAAATGTAGTTTTTAGACAATAAATATAAAATTATCTCATTAAAGAAATTGGTAGCATGCTGCAAACTACTCTGCATACACAATTTTTTATTCTTTTCCCATTTATTGTTTGTATCCTTTTAGGTATAGGTTTGACTTCATATAACAGAAAAAAAAGACAACTTATTGACACAGAACTTCAGAATTACAGAGGTAAAAAGTTCAGCACTCTTGGGCGGTCTGACAATATTGTCAGAAATCCAGACTCTGCCATCTTCAGCCTCTGGATTCAACTTTATATCCTCAAAGGGCTGCTAGTGCTCCATACCAGTGCTGTCTAGTAGAACTTTATGCCGTGCTGGAGATGTTCTATGTCTGTGCTGTCCAATAGGGTAGTGGCTAACAATCAGTAAAAATGTGGCTAGTGAGACCAAAGAATGGAATTTTCAATTTGATTTAATGTAATAAGTTTAATTTAAAAAGCTCAGGTGGCTATTGGATGACAATATGTGCAGCTCTAGCTTTTCATCTGTATTCCAGGATGTAGTAAAGGGGAAGGGGGGAGCATGAACTGATCATTCTCCCTTTTAGGAGGTATCTCAAATGTGCCACATAGCACTTTTACCTTCATCTTATTCGATAGAAATTAGTCATATGGTCACCTTTAATTGCAAGGGAGGCTGGAAATTATAACTGTTTATTCTGTATGAAATTGTATTCTGTTAAAAATCAAAGCTCTGTTCTGTTCTTTCCCTAAAGAGGAAGGAGAGAATGAATGTGAGAATTGGCATATAGTCTGAGGCACTTTGTTATATACACAACATCTTGTGTAATGCAAAAATTTTCAAAACTTACTGAATGTGGCAAAAGGAGTTCTAAGAGGAAAGTTTACAGTGATAAATGCCTACATCGAGAAACAAGAAAGATCTAAAATAAAGAACTTAATCTCACACCTCAAGGAACTAGAAAAAGAAGAATAAATGAAGCCCAGAGTTAGTAGAAGGAATTAAATAACAAAGATAGAGTGGAAATAAACGAAATAGAGACTAAAAAGAGAATAGAAAAGATCAATGAAACCAAGAGCTGCTTTTTTCAAAAGATAAACAAAACGACAAACCTTTAGCTAGACTCACCAAGAAAAGAAGAGAGAGGACTCAAATAAATAATTTTAGAAATGAAAGACACATGGGGCTGGGCTGGTGGCATAGTGGTTAAGTTCGCATGCTTCGCTTTGGTGGCCCAGGTTCATAGTTTCAAATCCTGGGTATGGACTGATGCTATGCTCATCAAGCCATACCGTGGTGGCATCCCACATACAAAAATGGAGGAAGATGGGCACAGACATCGGCTCAGGGCTAATCTTCCTCAGCAAAAAGAGGAGGATTGGCAACAGATGTTACCTCAGGGCTAATCTACATCACAAAAACAAGCAAACAAACAAAAAAGACACAAACAAACAAAAAGAAATAAAGGAAGTGTTACAACTGATACCACAGAAATAAAAAGGATCATAAAAGACTACTATGAAAAATTACGTGCAAAAATTGGACAACCTAAAATAAATGGAAAAATTCTTAGAAACATACAACCTTCCAGACTGAATCAGTGAGAAATAGAAAATCTGAAGAGATGGATGACTAGTAAGGATAGTAAATTAGTAATCAAAAATGTCTCAACAAACAAAAGTCTAGGACCAGATGGCTTTACTGGTGAATTCTACCAAACATTTAAAGAAGAATTGATACCAATCTTACTCAAACTCTTCCAAAAAATAGAATGGGGGAACACTTCCAAACTCATTTTCCAAGGCAAGCATTACCCTGAGACCAAAACCAGACAAGGGCAACACAAGAAAAAAAATTACCAGCCAATATCCCTGATCAATATTGATGCAAAAATTCTCAACAAAATGGTAACAAACCAAATTAAACAATACATTAAAATGATCATACACCATGATCAAGCAGGATTTATTCCAGGGAGGCAAGAATAGTTCAACATCCAGAGATCAATCAATGTGATACACTACATTAACAAAATGAGGAATAAAAATAATATGATCATCTCAATAGATACAGGCAAAGTATTAGACAAAATTCAACATCCATTTGTGATAAAAACTCTCAACAAAGTGGGTATAGGGAGAACGTACTTCAACATAATACAAGTCATATATGACAACATCATATTCAGCTGACATCATACTCAACAGTTAAAAGCTTAAAACTTTTCCTCTAAGATCAGGAACAGACAAGGATGTCCACTCGCACCACTTTTGTTCAACATATTATTGGAAGTTCTGGCCAGAGTAATTAGACAAGAAAAAGAAATAAAATGCATCCGAATTGGAAAGAGAGAATTAAAACTGTCCCTATTTGCAGATAACATGATATTACACACAGAAAACCGTAAGAACTCCACTAAAAAACTGTTAGAACTAATTAAAAAATTCTGTAAATTTGCAGGATACAAAATCAATGGCAAAAATCTGTTGCATTCCTATACACTAATAATGAACTAACTGAAAGAGAAATTAAGAAAACAATTGCATTTACAATTGCATCAAAAAGAGTGAAATACCTAGGAGTAAATTTAATCAAGGAGGTGAAGATCTGTACACTGAAAACTATAATACATTGATGAAAGAAATTGAAGAAGATGCAAGTAAATGGTAAGATATTCCATGCTCAGGAGTTGGAATAATTAATATTGTTAAACTGTTCATACTACCAAAGCAATCTACAGATTCAATGCAATCCCCACCAAATTCCAATAGCATTCTTCGTAGAAGTAGAACAAGCAATCCTAAAATTTATATGGAACCACAAAAGACACTGAACAGCCAGAGCAATCTTGAGAAAGAAGAACGAAGCTGGAGGCATCATGCTTCCTGATTTCAAACTATATGACAAAGCTGTAGTAATCAAAACAGGAAGGTACTGGCACAAAAACAGACACACAGATCAATGGAATAGAATCGAAAGCTCAGAAATGAACCCATGCATATAGGGTCAATTAATTCACAACAAAGGAGCCAAGAATATACAATGGGGAAAGGACAGTCTTTTCAATAAATGGCTTGTGAAAACTGGACAGCCACATGCAAAATAAGGAAACTACACCACTGTCTTACAGCATATGCAAAAATTAACTCAAAATGGATTGAAAACATGAAGGCATAAAACTCCTAGAAGAAAACAGGGGAAAAGCTCTTTGACATCAGTCTTGGTGAATATTTTTTGGATTTGACATCAAAAGAAAGGCAACAAAAGCAAAAGTAAACAAGTGGATTTACATCAAACTAAAAAGCTTCTGCATGACAAAGGAAACCATCAACAAAATAAAAAGGCAACCTACTGAATGAGAGAAAATATTTGCAAATCATATATCTGATAAGAGGTTAATATCCAAAATATGTACAAAACTTATATGACTCAGTAGTAAAAACCAATCTGACAAAAAAGGCAGAAGATCTGACTAGACATTTTTCTAGAGAAGATGTACAGATGGCCAACAGATACATCAAAGCTGCCCAACATCACTATTCATCAGGAAAATGCACATCAAAACCACAATGAAATATCACCTCACAGCTGTTAGAGTGACTGTTATCAAAAAGACAAGA